ATAGAGGCATAGAGGAAATGACATAGAGGAATGATGCATGAAGATTTATTTAAAGTTTTGGAGATAGGACACCATGCAATGCAGAATATCAAGTCACCAACCATGCTTAACCAACAATCTATCATATCTGCTCAATCCTACCTTCCTAGCTCAATCCACCCAAAGCTATGGTTGGGACATTTTCATGTATAAAATAACAAAGAGGAGCACCACAAACATGTATATTTGCTTATAAAGAATATATATACTATTAGTGTATCAACATCATATCCATTATAAATATACACAAAAATAGAAATTTCAAAAGGAGAAAATTAATGCACGCGTCCACGTGCGTGCACACACACACACACACACCTCCTGATGTAGCATAAGATAAGTTTGGCAATGACAATTACAACTTGTTTGCTTGAGCATGCATTATTAGTATTATCTTCAATCCGTTGTTTCTTGGCAGGAAACCTTTAAACCTCTTGTCCATTTTCTGGGTATTAGTTCAGTCAGTACTCAAAAATAAAATCTGTATATCACCTTAAAGGTACTTGAAACTAAGTACACCAGGGGAAGCCTTTTGTGGAGTGGATTTTCTGCTCTTGTTTCAGTGTACCTGGAATACTGCATGTGACACTGCACCACCTGACAAGAGAATCAAGTCAGAACACCAGAGTCAATCCATTATCACTCTTGTGGCCCCTCAACCACAGGTAATGTGACCCTTTTAAAATATGTACTGCTCGTCTGCTCACTTAGATAAAAAGCCCAAGACCTCACAATGACACACAGGCCTCCTATGATGCGTCCCCCATTACTTCTCTGCTCCTTGCTCCCTTATATCACAAAGACCTTTTCTAAATGACTTCTGTGGACATAAAGAAGAACTCACTGGCCTTCTCACTAAGGCCTGAAGAACTTACAATGGATGAAAGATGCATTTACTATAGATAAAGACAGGGAAGAGTTTCCCTGTGAGGTAGTTAACCGTGTTCCAAAACCTTGCCAGAACTAGACAGATTTCCTTATGAGTAGCTCAGCTAGCAGAGGAAGCCTGCCCCAAGCCCGTACTTCTGCAATGCAGGACCACCAAAACTTTTCTGTTGAATAGATATTTATTTCCTGGATTTACAACAAATGCATGGTTTTATTTAAACGAAAAAGCACCTTTTTATTATCTAACTCTCTAGATAAGCCTTTGGAAACAAGGCATGTAGTAAAGATTATTTGCAATACCCATATTTGATGCATCATCTTCACAACCATGCAGTTCAACGTGAAATTTAAATTCAGCCAATAATTCCAAGGTGACAGTTTTATCTACAAAGCCTCCATTTCTATTTCAACCAATTTATTTAATGGAACAATTTAGAGTACTTGTTTAAACTGACCCAAATAGCATTAAAAAAAAAGTAAAGGGAAATAAGTTTCAAATTCATTTTAATATTAGAAACCATTGCTGTTCTTAAAGCATTGAATCTTAGGCTCAAATGTGTTAATTATACAATTTCTTAATAAAGAGATTCAAGGAAGATAGCACCGTAATCATTGTAAAAACATTAGCTCAGATAAAATCCACCACTGTCCTATAAAACACCCACACACAAACATTAAGACCTCACATAAAATACATGCTATGAAATGTAACCAGTGAAAACACTAAAAAGTAAATAAGATACAAAATTATAGAGTTCAACACACATTATGCTTTAACTCTCACTTCATTTGATTTACATTGCTTTCTAGATGCTTTTCATGCAAACAGTTCCAGAAACCTGGTGATTTTCTTTATTATGAGGGCTGACATGGCAATGATTGAATACTCTACATTTTCTTCAGTAACAGAAAGTCTGATTTATGAGAGAAGGATGAATATCTAAGAAAATCACTCAATAAATTACTCAATTTTTAGATCAAGCTAATTCAGGGCAAATGTCCTTCATACTGGCAGTATGGAGAATATAACTTACTGGATAAGAGCACAGTGTTTAAGAGAATACCTGGGTTTGTTTCCCTGCTTTTAGTAATTTTGTGACTGTAGGCAAGATACATAACCCAGTTTATTCATTTTGAAAAGTTAAATAACAATGGGAAGTATGTCTCATAGGACCAGATGCACATGACTGGTGGCATTTAAGAGAGCAGATGTAGATACATAACCCAGTTTATTCATTTTGAAAAGTTAAATAATAATGGGAAGTATGTCTCATAGGACCAGATGCACATGACTGGTGGCATTTAAGAGAGCAGATGTAGTGATGGACTTATTTTTTAAATTTATTTTAGCACTTTTTTATGTATATTAAAAAGATATAAAACTAATATGTCAAATAAAACATTGTAAGAGGTAATTTCTCAGAACAAACCTAGGTAGCACCATGGGAAACTCTCTTTATGAGAGAATAGTTCTTTTCAGTTGTACTTTGAAACATCATTTCCATGAACATTTAAAAAACTGTGAAGTCATGTACACAAAAGGTCCAAACGTTGGAAGCAAAGTCTTAGGGGTTATGTGGATTATGTGAGAACCAAAAAGTGAGACGACATTCATGAAGTACTTAGCTTGGTGCTGGAGTGCATTTAGTACTCAAGAATGGCTGCTGTTATTGTTTTTTCCTTATGACCTATTATTACCATACCACCAAAATGCTGATAAACCATATATACTCTGCCCCAGAATAAAAGAAGCTTCTGAGTATCTATGTATAAAAAAACAATTATCTTTACTTTCTAAATGATTTACAAGTAAGATGTATCACTAAAAACCCAAGAAAGAATAAAGTAAACTAGGAAAAGGTAGGGTGGGAGTGGCTCACGGAGGACAAAGGAACAAGGACCTGATAAAATTAAGCAACACATACCATTTATCATAAGAATGTTTGGTAAAATGACATACGTTGCAATGACACTAGGGCTAAGTAAATTTGTCCATGAAATTTGAGGAATTCTCTCCCCCAGAGAATAGCACCTACAAACATCTCCTTAAACTTTGTCTTAGGACATGTGAAACAAAGAAAATAGCTTTTTGTTTTTGTTTTTGTTTTTTAAAATCCCATCAAGTAATATAGTACACACCACTATAATGAACATCTACAAACTTTTCCTGTAATTTTACTAAGTTTTTCTGAATAGTTTAAGAAAATAAGTCTTTTCCTAAGGGGAAAAAGGGAAATATTAATATTTAATAAAATATTGCTTGGATATTTTCCTCTTCTATGCATGTTATGTGCTTCCTATTTAATTGCAATCACAATTAATATTTTCCTGCAGGTAGTATTTCTCAAGAAAATATATGCTCAGCATTGTGTGAATATGTTATTCTTCTTTTAAATAAAATATTCTAAATTTCATCCACCAACATATAAAGAAGCTTTAATATTTTGGTGTTCCAATTTCTATCACAAATTAACCCTAAATTTTCTTTTACCATAGGCAAAGAAAGAATCATTCAATAATGGATTAAAAGATAGTTAATTCCAAACTTAAAATCCAAATATCTTTACTCACAATAAGACTAAACTCTATAGTAGCAGCAGCTCTTATACCTGAGAAAGAACTGGGGACAGAACTGGGCCCAATCTAAACTTTAAAGTAAGTCATGTGACAGCAAAACACATCTAAATTTTTACATTGATAGCCTACCAGGAATTTCTTATCCAGAAAAGACCAATGAATAAGGTTGACTCTCAAGATTAGAGATAAGACTCAGAAATGCCACCTAATGAGAGTTAACATATGATAAATGACACTAGCTATCTTTGGAGAATTGGAAGAAATCTACCAATGACACTATGGATCACTCTCCATATAAAACAAGAATTCAAATGTAGTCACTGAAAATTAATTAAGAAGGAATTTTCCACTTCTTGCTTGAAAGGTGTAATACAACTATGATTATGTAGTAAAAAATGAAGGTAAATTTACCATATAATTAAAGCTAATTTCTGGAAAACAAACAAACATGCAAACAAACCAATGACTTGCAATAGCATCTAGCTTTCTCAAATTCTTTACTGAATTAACCACCAACAGTGACTGTCCTGGCATTAGGAAATGTTCTACCTATTTTGATCACTGGACTTCACTGAATACATCTTTTCATCTCTTACTACATAACACACTCCAGTCAGTAATCTCATAAAAATAATGAGAAGAAATAATAATAATACATTTTCAAGAATGACATCTGTTCAAAGAGTTAACATTTTAAACATAGCAACATTTATCTGAGTCCCAAATACATAAAAAGAAAATCCCTTTGTGAGAACTGAACAGGCACCTGACAATTTAACAACTCAGAATAATATGTAAATTTTTAACATGTTTTCATGACAAAAGGATGAATTTAGTTACACTATAAATTAATCTATTCATGAAAACTTTACTAATAAAGTTGAAATTAGGTGTGCCCTTAAATTTTTTTTAGTGTTTTTATTTCTTTTTTAAAGTCACAGCTAAAAGGCTTTTTTAAAAAAATCAGGTAACATTTTACAGCATAAATTTAGTTTCACTTGCTAGCCATAAACCATAAACATTATCATCATCAAGTTACAATGATGAAGTTTGTTATAAAACCAAATGGTCCAGCTATAAAACCAGTATAATTTTCTGTATGATATTTCTTATTCCCAGAAAAGAAAAATTGGCACATGACTACTATGAAGGTACAAAATAAAAACAAATTTAGGACCCATTATTATTAGGGTTTCCTTGTAATACATGCCATGAAGGTATTACTGTTAATCCTGTTTTCATTTTTAATCTCTTAGCTTCAAAACATAGTTATAATATAAACTTTTTTCGAGAAAATATTTATGATTATAATAGAATCAAGAAGTTCTTTAAAAACATGACAGTTGTTAAGAGGAAATTGATAGCAAAATAGGTCAGAAACAGGGCACTTGGCTTGGTTCTCACAGAAATGATATATTGTGAACTCATATTCTCAACACGTTCTAAGCAGTAGAAAAGTTCTGTTGAAAAAGCATGCCAATAAATTTTGTACTTACTTTGCAGAGGCAAAGTGATTCTAATACACTGTAACTCTTGTTCCTCGGCCCACTCCATCTTTGGCAGGATCTGCATCATCTCACAGTGACCATTCTCTGTCGTGGACACTGGTTGACTATTGATTGGTATCTTTCTCAGAGTCTTCATGTGCTGTTGAACTTCCGCCAAGAGAACAGCTTGTATTGCTTCAGTTACCTGTAAAGTTTTTCTCATGAATTATTCTTAGAATTATTACAAATGCTTGGGGGGTCTTGCAAAATATCCACAGCCTGGCATTTTGATTTGAACAGCTTTTCCATAAATGATAAAGCTCTGTTCCACTAAAACTAGCATCTAAAACAATTCAAATGTGGACAGTGAGAACTGGCACTCAAACTTTCACACTGTTCTTTTGAAAATGCAAGAGGTTCTGAAAGGATCCTTGAGAGGAGTTTTCAATTCTTTCTCCGAAGTTATTTTCATTTTTACCATAAGATAAAAAAAAAAAAAATTTGAATATAACATTTTGCTTTTAAAGACAAGACATAGTTCCTCAAACTATATCTAGCTCTAAAGCACTATTTAGCTAAAAACACTAAATTTAAACTACATTTAATAAAGAAGGTTAAAGAAAGGATGTTAATAATAAATCTCACTAAACTGTGTGTGTATATGTGGTTTTATATGGATTAAAATACCATAAGGCACCCTTTCTGGTTGTTGTGCATACCCAGTCAAGGACCTGTGGTTGGTGGTGGAAGGGTGAATTCTTGTCACAGAGCACCTAATCAAATACCTTCATTTTTAGAATGAAGAAACTGGGGCATGACATACCAAGGTTACACAGACTTGGTGGACAGGACTTCCGACTCCTGATTCTATGTCCTTTATAGCACATGTCTTCCCAAGTTTCTGTACCCTCACTTCTCAGTGCAATACTAGTAACAGTTTGCCTAGGCCTCTTGCTGGCAAGAGATGAAGCCAGCTCCGGGAGTTAGGTAGAGCCCAGGGAAAGCCACAGGCTGAACCAAGGAGAGAAAAGGAAGGACACCCAATGCTCTAAGCAGATTTGGGACACCTTCTCATTATCCTTCTCTGGCTGACAGTTAAACCTTTCATACAGGCACATCCAAGTGCCTGCTCCTTTTCCCCTCAGAAGCCTGCCCTCTGTCAAGATGACCCATGTTCCACAACCATAACTGCCCCCTCTCCATTATACCCAGTCTATCCTCAAGGATGCCTGGAACTAGGGATTTGGGACAACACCAGCGGAGAATGGTAATCTAGAGATGCCTGGCCCAAAACAGAACATGTATTCATCTGAACATTTATTCAGTCTCTTTTATGTGTCATGTGAGACCTTTAGGCTCCAGGAAAACCCAGAGAGCCTATGCTGATGGTAGATCTACAGGGGCAAAAGGAGCTGGGCCCCTGACTTTCAAATATAGGAAATTTCCCAAGAGAACCAGAACAGCTTCCTGATTGCTGATTGTCCAGCTCACATTAGAATGCTTGATTAGGGAGTGAAAAAAGGCTAATGAATGGTATGATTTTCCTGTTGCGCACCATGTTTACTAACATGCAGTACTGCGAACCACAGTACAAGCAAATGATGCTTACAGATGAATATTGTGTGATGAGCTATTCAGCATTGTAATATCTATTATGTATCATGAATCTAACATAAAGTTCTGCATATCATGATGCTGGTGAATCATGCCTATTAATATCTACCATGTGATAAGACATATAATATGAACCACTGTATATGGTATTTACTAATATATTCTACTATACATGACGATATTGGTAAACCATGCTGATTTACATATACCACATGATGGGATATATCGTATTAATTACTCATGATGAACTATTTTATAACACTGAATTTATTTCATTTTAATATTGTCATACAGGTTATTTGACAGCGCTGATTCCAAGATCTGGATATTGTGGTAAAAAGAACTCTGGGTCAGAAGTGAGAAAGCTTGAGTTTCCATTCTAACTAGGACAGTTACTATAAATGCAACCTTAGGTAAGTCACAAACTTCTCTGAAACTTCATGTCCTCATATATAAAACAGTCCGTGATACTGACAGAGGTTAGGATGAGAGTTTTCAATAAGAGAACACTGGTGGAAATTGCTCTGTCCATATCTATCAATCAAGGAGGATGGTGGAGGATATCCTTAGATTCACAATGTATCCAGAGTACGGCATATCCCTGGAATGGGCAGTTTGGCCATATGGCATCCTTGGGCGATGACTGTCCCTCACACTAAGATGATGATTCTCACCTCTGAGGAGCACACACAATGGTAATATAAAATGTCATCCATCCCACTGGATAGAATATCCTACAACAACTTGCATCATCATTTTTTCTTAAAAATATACAGGGATTTATGCAATTTCATTTAACATTTCTAATTATTAGGTTTCCATGTCATGAATTCACATTTTTTTAACTGTTGACTTCCTTTTTTTTTTTTTTTACCTAGGTGTCACTGCAAATGCATATTACACGAATAATCAATATTAGTATTATTTAAAAACATGGGGAACAGAAATATATTAACCATAATAAGTAGGATACTCAGAGCCACAAAAGTTAAAAGTGAATACTGAATGGCACATACCCAATTACAAACAAACTCAAAATATATACTTTAGGCTCAGTGTGAAAGCAAAGTCAGCATTGCTCCCATCCAGAGGGAAAGGGTATGTCTTATAAGCATGTAATAACATTATAACAGTATCTGATATACACTAGGTGCTAAATAAATGCTGGTGAATTGGAATAGATTCTGCATACTTTAAAAGTATAAACTGTGGAAAGTATAATTTCTTGATAGTTTATAACTATCAATACTTGAGTCTCTCCAGTACATAAATATAGTAGATAAATTATATAAATGTCAGTAGGGATAGAATTTTCTCTCAACAAAATATAAAATTTTTAGATAGTATTTTATACAACTTTGTGATTTTAATAATGAGCTAGAATTGAGTACTATGGCTATAAAACTGTCTTCCACATGCACATAAATACATTTCTCGGAAAAGGTAGATATGCAAAGTATTGCACATTTTTATGAGGGAATGTGCAGAGCTTCAAAATAAGGTTTACAAATCCATTGGCTGGTAACAGTCAGCCACAAATTTGGGCTGTAACCTTATAACTAGAAGTATTACCGTGCCATAGACAAGCTAAAAAATTTTAATGGTATATCACTAACACGCTGGAACAGCAAAGTGCTGTAAAATACTATGAGATCATAAAGACTCACACGAACCCCTGTGTCTTATAACTAGAAGTATTACCGTGCCATAGACAAGCTAAAAAATTTTAATGGTATATCACTAACACCCTGGAACAGCAAAGTGCTGTAAAATACTATGAGATCATAAAGACTCACACGAACCCCTGTGTCCTGCTTGTTGTTCCAGTGTCCAGATTTTCTGTTATAAGTAAGTATTTCCCAACACTCTGGCTCATGCTAGCTTTTCATGTCTTTGCTCTTTGTCCTGGAAAAGCGACACTTCTCTCTGCCTGTTATGACTTGCACTCTCGGTTGTTAGATTATAAAATCCAAAGAACTTTAGTGCAGTGCCAGAAACATGCAAATTAGCAACCCCCAAATTTTCTTGTTTTGTTTCCAGCGTGTGTCCTGGAAAAGCGACACTTCTCTCTGCCTGTTATGACTTGCACTCTCGGTTGTTAGATTATAAAATCCAAAGAACATTAGTGCAGTGCCAGAAACATGCAAATTAGCAACCCCCAAATTTTCTTGTTTTGTTTCCAGCATTTATTTTTATGTTGGATGTTTCATGTGTGAGAAGCAAAAGAGACAATCCCTGGGCAAATTCATTTGTAAATTTAACTCGCTCTCACCCCCTCCCTTAAAGGTAAACACTCAACATTTGAAGTCAGAGTTTGCTCTGTTTTACAAAAGTATTCCATTACCACCTATTGCTCCCAAAGTACATAAAAAGTAAATTCAAGTTAACAGGATTCAACCAACGGCTCAAAAGAATTACTATAATTTGAGGATTGGTTATTGAAGCATTAGAGGGATACTTGCAAGAATCTCTGTTGTTCTGAAAGGCCCAAGAATTCTCAATCCCATTTTACATATGAGGGAGACGGAAAGTCAACAAGTTAAATCTGTCTCCCAGAGTCATGCATCAGGCTACTGGCAGAGATGAGAGGAAAACTCTGAAGACTGGACTTGCTGTAGAGTGGGTAGTAAGGGCTCTGGTAATATTTGTCTATTGCCAGCATTTCACATAGGAGTGCTAGGCAGAATCACAAAACCTTCAAGGTGTATTAGTCCAAACATGCCCAAACCAGATTAAAATTTATTTAAAGGTCAAATGAACAACTACAAAAGATCTTTAGATTAGAGTAATTCAGGACAAATGTTCTGTTGAAATCCCTTTCCTTGAGGATTTTTCTCCTCATTGAGGAATTCTTTGGCTTTTAGGGGAAAAAAAATTCTCACTTTTAAAAGATAGGCTCTTTGGGGGGTGCCTGCTAATATGCTGGTAAAGCCAACTTGTACTAGTGTTTATTTTAATTATTACAGAGGCTATTCGCATAGCTATTCATTTATTCGTTAAATACATATTGACTGGCTGCTGTCACTATTGCTTTTCTGGGCATTGGTGAGTGAGACAGGGTGCCTGCTCTCACCCTGCTTATGCAAGGAGACTTCAAAAAGTTCATGGGAAGATGTATATTATCTTTTAATTCCTTTTTCCACAAACTTTTTAAAGTACCCTCATGTAGCAGTGAGAAGACAGAAAATGAGCAAGCGAAGTAGCAAATAATAAAATTTCCATTAAAAGCAATCACAAGAAAGAAATTAAAACCAGGTAATGTGATGGTGACTGGAGGTGTGGGGTGGGGGAGGGTGTGGTGGCAATCACATCAGTTGGAATAATCAGGGAAGACATCTAAGGAGATAGATTTTGAGTAACCTGGATGATAAATGGAGAAATGAGAATTCCAGCCTGAGAGAACGGTAAGATCCTGAGGTGGAAATGAGCTTGGCATATTCTGGAAATAAAAAAAGAAAGCCAGTGTGGTTACATCAGGGTAAGAACGGTTTGGATGGGGGCAGGGAGGAGAAATGATGAGAGATGAGGTTAGGCTGGTGCAAATCATGTGGAAACTTGTAGGCCAGGATAACAAGTTTCCATAGCCATTGCATTCCAATTGTGTATACTTGGTTTTAGGGTGTCAACTCTTAGAGTTTGATCTCAGTTAACTTTCTTTGTTTCCCTATAACCCAGAATATCATTCCTAATTGGAGTTATTGTCATTCTCATCTTGCAAATTTGACATTTATCAAGCTCATGAAGAAGAATAAAGTTCCAATAAACAATCATCTAATCAATGCACAGATACTTATTGTACAATGTACAAAGCTTCCTGTAAGCTTTTAAGATCTGAGGAAGCCCTAAAAGAGGAAGAAAGACTTAAATTGGACACTGTAGAAACCAGTTCTCTAAATCAACTCACAGATGTGATGCTCTCAGGATAGAAAAATAATTTCTAATTTCACATAACCAGAAACCCAAGCATAGTACCTTAATGGCATGGCCATTTTGAAATCAAATATTAGATGATTCTGCCTCAAACTGAAACTCCCATGGTCAAGAAGTTACCCTTGACAGCATGAACCTCCTTCCCTCTGTCCCCTCCATTCACACTCCCTGCCTTAATGCACCCTTGCTTAAGTTATTTTCCCCCTTTTCCTTCTTCTCTGTCTCTGCATCAGGCCTGTTACATGGAACGTCCTAGGAGGCTACTTTGTGAGGACTATTCACTTCTACTTTCAAGTAAAGGCAGGTATCAGTGAAACACGGAAGCAAGAAACTCTTCTCATAACTTCAAGATCATGAACTACGTCATACCTGCACAGACTGGTCTCTCCAACAGGAAATCAGCCTCAAAAGTGAAAGGTCAGCCTCAGGTATATGGGGGTCAGTCTTACCTAGAAATACACAGAACACATTTGCATCTTGAGACTATTCAAAATGGATGTAGTTCAGTGGACCTAAACCCTGGCTGCACATTAGAATCACTTGGGAGGCTTTTTTTCTCTTTTGCAAACATCAATGCACAGGTTTTAGTCTTCCAGAGATTCTGATTCAATAGGTCCTGGGATGGGAATGTGACAGGTATGAATACTTCATAAAAGTACCTCAGATGATTTTTGTGTACAGCCAGAGTTAAGAATCATTTATATATACATTTATATATATTTCTAACAATCATGGTAAATATTCACATCAAATCATTTTTATACCTTAAACTCACCTTTGTACCTTTTTGCCAACCCAGGACAGATCACCAAGTTTTACAATTCCTTTCTCATACAAATAGTTCCTGAAATTCTACCCTGCCATGAATAAGTACCTATCACACATAAAATAAAATAAGAAAACTTCCTTTGATTTTTCCTTCCCCAGCTATCTGATCAATAGGTATAGTATTAACATTTTAATGTGACTCATTTTGCTATGCATTGTTTCTTTTACGTTTGCCCTCTTGAATGTCCTTTCTGTCTCTGTGCCTTAATGTTCAGTGTGAAATTTTTAAGCTAGGGCTTGATCTATTTAAATTGATCTATAGAGTGTTCAGCAGCTCCTTACACAAAAAAAGCACTTAATAAGTGCCTTTATATTAATGAAAATGTACACATAATCATCGAAATGAAAAATCAATGAATTAAGGCATTCTGATGGCTAAAGCATATGACCTGGGTTCCAGATCCCAGGAGTGAGATAGGGAAAAATGACAAGGACTTGTGCTAGTGGGAAAAGTGTTTCTATGATCATCTATTTAAATCAATGTATTAATATATGCTTGACATCCCGGTATGAACTATTTAAATTAGCATTCGTCTAATATGCTTTTCATTGAATCACTGTTTTATATATTTATATTTTAAATATATATGTATATATATAACATTAGTATCCAAGGAAAATGGTACAGAAGGTATTGGATATAATGCAAATTGAGAACATGAAAGAATATATAGAAAACTTTTCAACAATTATTAATATCATTATTTTTTCCTGATGAAGCATATAATGTGAATTTAAAATGATCAAGAACAGTACATAAAAAATGTAAGTATGGGAGCACTATGATTTCAAAGTCATGTTTTCCATTTCTTGAGCACAGCAGGTAAGTGAAAATTTCCTTTTGATCTTTTTCCTTTCTCCCTCTCTCATTTTGTTGACCTTGTGATTCAACCATCAAAGCTAAGTACTGGTCTCAACCATAACTACTTACTGGCATCATGGGGTACTTCACAGCACACTTTAATGTGATGTTAAAATATTAATATGAGATAGAAATGAGAGCCAACTTTTCTTGGCAATGTCAGCGAGTTAAAGAATTAATTGCAACTTCAACTTCAGGGGGAAAGATAAAAAGAAAACATCCCAGGTTTACCAATATTACTCAGTCACTATTCTTGCTGGCAGAAGTGAGTATTGGTTTCTGTCAACCTTTAGAATAAGTACCTCAGAGCATTATTTTATTCTTCAGGATTCGGTTTTATAAAATTAATACCATAAAATGAATTCCTCCTTTTCCTTCACCTTTCATCTTCCCATTATTAACAAAACAAAACAAAAACCATGTTTCCTTAGTTCCTAACTGAGTTTTAAGTGCCACCCCTAAACACCAGGGAGATTATTCCGTAATAACACCAGGTGCTCAGGCTGCTTTGGTTAGGGCAGCAACAGGAAAAAGAGGGGACCTCTTGGCTCTGCTTTAGAAATTCCCTCTGTCTTTGCAGAAACACTTATGTAAAGCCTTAAATTCCAATCCTTTTCTCAGTATTATAAAAAATGGAAACTGGGTAACTAACCCTAATAAGGGCTGCTACCTAAGGAGAAGGCAGGCAGCCCAGACTGAGACCACACAGAGGGAACACTATTTGTAATCATAAATGTGAGAAGTGGCCTGATACAGTGGAAAGAAAAATGGGTTAGGAATCACATTTGGGCTGAAATGCTGGCCCCCTGCTTAATAACTATTTGACTATCAATGAGTCATCTAACTTCTCTGAGCCCCAATTTTTCTAAGGGTAAAATAGAGAGTTCCTCTTACTGTGCAGCTTATTTACATATTAAATGAAATAATATATGTGAACTATTAGCATAATTCTTGTAACATTCCAGGCATTCAATAATTGGGAGCTATTAATGAACTCTCACTTGAGAACATTTTAGAAATTCTTTTCGTTAGTCCTATGAGGGGTCCTGTGTGCTGCTGTTCAGACCATCTCCTTGTATACGTCACATACTGCACAACCTTGGAGGCCACATGCGCATCAAGTCTGCAGTCTTATTCCCATTTTACAAATGTAGTAACTGGGGCTTTTGAAGGAGCAAAAGACATGCCTGAGGTGCATAAGTAGTAAGTGGCAAAGGCTGGATCTTGTACCTCAGCCATCTACTTCATTTACTGCCAAAACCATTGTTCTATTCACCACTTATCCCTTAATTCTATTCTTCCAGTAATTTCACTCATCTACTAATTCAAAAATTATTTGCTTAGTTCCTTCTAGGCATTGTTCTAGGAACTGAAGACACAGCAGTGAATTAAACTGTCATAAAAATGTAACGCCAGTGGAGTTTACATTTTAGTAGCAGAAGGCAGATGACAAATGGAAAAAGCGATAAGCATTATGTCAGACAGTGAAAGGGGTTATGGAGAACAGCAAAACAGAGAGAGGGGTAGAGAGTGCTGGCAAAGAGGTAGGGCACCTTCATTGATAAAGTGGCATTTGAGCAATATCTGAAGGATGGGGGTGAGAGGAGGGAGAGCAGGTTGACCCATGTGGATAGCTGGGGAAAGAATATTCCAGGTAAGGAAACAGCCAATGCAAAGGTCCTAAGACCTGCCTGTCATGTTTGGGTAAGAGTGAGAGGCTAGAATAGATGGAACGAGTTCAGCAGAGGAGATAAGGTCAGATGGGGGTGTGTGTGCAATGACATAGGTAAAACAGCCAGACCATATAGGGCCTGGTGAGCTTTGGTAAGGACTGTGGCTTTTATTCTGGTTGAAACAGAAGCCACTGGAAGGCTGTACGTAGAAGAGTGAGGCTGTGACTTAGTTTCAAATAGATCACTGCTGCCTGGTTGGGAATAAAGAGTAGGAGTCAAGAATAGGATCAGAGAGGGCGTTAGGAGCCTACTGTCATCATCCAGGCAAGAAGGATGAAGGCTGACACCAGGGGGTGGTCGTATGGGTGGTGAGAAGCACTTGGGTTCTGGGATATATTCTGGAGGTAGAACTGACATGATTACTAAAGGACTGGATGGGAGGTCTAAGAGTAAGAGAAAGTAAAAAGTAATATCAAACTTGTTGGCCTGAGCAACTGGAAGGATAGAACTGTCATTTACAGAGATGGCGGATTTGGCAAAGCCCATTTGGAAGATGAATTAACTATTTGGTGCCAAAAGAAAATCTAAACACTGTGATTATTACACAGAAGAGTTCAAGATTATTACTCAGAAGAATATAACCTTCTGAAACAGCAATAAAATTTTGAATAAAATAATTATTCAGTAATAAAATATTGACACAATAAGTTTTCCAATAACTCACACATGACCTTACTTTATTATCCAAATATTTGTTTGCTGAAAGTTTCAGACTTTGAGGCATTTCAAAGATGATCTGATGAAATCTGTGTCTTATATGATGTCATTTATTGTAACATTGCTGTTTAGTTATAGAGAGACTAGTTATTTTATTTCATAGAAAAACAATATATCAGATTATATCTGTGTCTGTTAATTCCCTTACCATTTTGTGAGTAACCATAGAAGCTTGAAATATTATTCCCAGGATTTTTCACCTTATAATGTACAGATTCCATTTTGAAAGAACTGTTGGGGGAAAAAAATGTAAAGGATATTATTAAAGAAGTATGAAAAATACTTTCAGAAAATAAGTTGAATATATGGGTGTGTGACTACCTTAGCAAATTCGGGAACTGAACACAGATTGTTTTTAGCATTATCTTCCACATTAACCTCTTTTGTGAATCATCTTTCCCCACTTGCTCCAACCTAAATCCTTAATCTCAATTGAATTGCAAATCTTAGTTCATCAGAATTATCTGTGACCCACTTTTACAGGAGGGTCCTTGCTACTTTATGTCACAAGACTTCTGGCTAACACTGCAAATTTTTGAATCCTAGTATGTTGACATCTGCCAAAGAATTGTCCCAGGTATCATTGGGGCCTTACGAAGGTAGGCTTTTCCCTAAGCCAGTGTTTCAGTCAAAGGAATCTAGGTAGTGTCAGGGATGTTCTCATAGGCAGACAACTATTTCCTTGAAATTTAGTAAAATCGTCCACTCAGTTTCTAGCATACAAGGTTTTCTAAACCTTCACAACCACAGTAAAATGTTAGTAAAATGAATAAATTTGTTAGAAGGATTTGGTGTGACAAACCCAATATAAATTATTTTGATTTCTTGAAAAATATCCAGGTTCTGATAGCAGATCACATCTGGAATGACTGATTTAGAGAACCAGTTTCTAATCCTGACACCTCCATTCTATAATTTGCTTTAATGAAGAATTGTTTAAAGAATCAAGTAATATGTGGCAACGATTTAGAGGCTATTTAATAAAAAGTGTGCAGAAAGCCTGTAAACTCCCCTAAAAGGTAACAGACTGGTACTCTGAATCAGAAACAAACTCAGAACAAAAACTTCCGAAAAACAATAACTCTGTAGGACATTTAATAAAAAGTGTGCAGAAAGCCTGTAAACTCCCCTAAAAGGTAACAGACCGGTACTCTGAATCAGAAACAAACTCAGAACAAAAACTTCCGAAAAACAATAACTCTGTAGGATCACAGTTAGACAAACAAATTTTTTAGCAGCAAAAGTTTAAAAAAAATCTGAAGAAATTTATGTAAACCTTTAAGGTGCACATGAATTACTCGATAGTCTCCTCTATTTTAATATGCCAAAGTATAAAGTAAATGTATGATTTGAGGTATGTTATTTTCAAACTTTTCCTTTCTTTATGATATGTGAAATATATCATCATAAGCATTTCCATAAATATTCCTTGTTCATACTTAATTCACACCATGTATAATGAATTTCAAGGTGTCTATGTATGTACGTATGTATGCATGCATGCATGTATCTGTTGACTCATTCAGTATTCAGCACTATGACATTCCTGGAACATATTATGAGAACAATGAATATTTGTTGAATTAATGAATTTTAAAGCATATAGATTTGTTGCCAAATTATCCTCCATTTCCAAAGAGTTAAAAGGAAGATTTTCTTAAATGTGTTTTGAACTAAAACTGTCCCATATTTACCCCTCATCAGAAGAAATGAAGGAAGACTAGAGACCTGAATACAGCAAACAATGATAGTTTTTTTAGTGTCCTGAATTAGAATAATCAAAATCTCTAGGCATGTCTTACCTGTTAATTCCATAGGCCAATTCTAAAGGCATGTTAACTAACTTATTAACTAAAAATAATCTACTCAATAAATAAACTATAGTATTTGATTCTTGCATAGAATCACAATTATTTCCTGGTCCTGTTGACATTCCAACCTGGTCTGAAAGGGTGGCTGTGTATTTATTTGACAAGTCCAAAACTTTTCTGGAAAATAAATTTACTCTTGAGTAGTCTTTCTTTGTTTCAGTGTTGCATAAATCCCAACCTGGCAGCATCAATGAGAAGTGATCTTCATTTGAAACAAGTCCTAAAGAAACAGGACCCTGAGGCTTTAAAATATTAAGATGCTTGATGCAGAGATTATCTAATTCTTTATCTACTTCCCATGGCAGAAGGCAAGACAGAAACAACTTAGCTGCATCTGTTGTGAGACTGGTATCAACTTTTCTTGATGGTTTAGGTTGCATCTTTTTAGAGCTTTTCATTCTCTTCTGCCGTTTAATGCCATTGTTTTCTTCTAAGAAGTTAACGGTGTTATCTCCTTGGGCCAGGCTTTCATTAATGGACTTTGCTTGTGCCTCTGCTGAGAGAGGACCACAGGCAGTTTTATTTCTTCTCAGTGTCAATGTCTTCTTCTCTACTGTGCTCTTGGCTCTTTTAAGGATCTCACGACCATAGAAGGAACTGGAAAGGTCATCGTCACTGAGTGGAGTCGGCAGCAAAAGTTTAACAAGGTTTTCCAGATCAAATAGAAGAATATGAAAGCCAAAGTTATTCCATTCTGTTTTCACAGACAAGATATTAAAAGGTCTTGAGAAAGATTTGGTATCAGCAACCTAAGGGAGATAAAAAATATTATGTGTAAAAGTTCCTGTTTTTCAAGTTATTTCATTAAATGTTCCATGATGGTCATGTGATATGAAAAGTAAGTATTAAGTAGCAGTACAGCTAAATGCAAGTCACTTCAATTTATTTTTTGTCTTAGCTACAAAAATATTCCTTTTTAAATTAAACGTTCTATATTCTAACACTCTTTAAATTTTTTTTTTCTTACTAAAAGTTCTTTTTTTCCCTCTAAATAAATATGAATTAGGTCTCTGTAGTAAAATGGCACCAGATTAACATCCTTGGATATCTCTTACATCTTCCTGTTATTATAGTCATGAAGACATATAAGGAAAAAGTGGGTTTGAAAATTAAGGAGAACAGAACACAAGCAAGAATTTAGGAAGTATTTTTAACAAGAATAGCTCCAAATTTGTTTAAATCTTCAAATAACTGAAAGCAACCTGAATGTTAACCAATATCAGATTGCTTTTAAAAACAACAACAAAAAACACCTAACCTTATGGACTTGCAATGATTTTTCCCCAAAGATTGCTACAGTGGGTTCCATACTTTAATTACATTTCTGCTCATTTATGAGGTCTTCCTTGAGTACCCTGTGTCCTCACACCAACCCGTTATTCTCTGTCCTCCTCCTTTTTATTTTTACTTCTTGTTAGTACTTATAATTACCTTATATTATATGAAAAATTTATTTGCTTATTGTATGTTTTCTCCACTAGCATTCAAGCTCCACATTTGCAGGAGTTTTATACAGTCCTTACTGCCAGTGCCTACAAAATAAAGCTGTTATATAGCATTAAGGGGTCAATAAATATTTGTTGAGTTAAATCATATATTTTATAAGTGAGACATAATTTATATATGTTTAAATGTCCCCAGGAAACCCCAAGCCAGGGGCCACAGCCATGACCCCAAGACATCCACATGCAGCCTGGTGATGACCACGACCGGAAGCCCTCTGGGCACCCAAGCCGGGTGGAGGTGGGGGCCAAAAGCCTCAGCCATGCCTCCTGACATCTGCATCCAGCCCAGAGACGACTGACCCACTGCTGGAAGTCCCCCGGGCCATCGGGCCAGGGTCTGCGGTAGGGAAGAGGGCCTCAGCCACACTGTCCCAACATCCACATCCAGCCTGGTGACAACCAACCCACCTCTAGAAGACTCCTGGGCACCTGAGCTGGGGTGGGGGAAGCTTGTGGGCCTCAGCCCCACCCCTCTACCCACTGCAACCAGGCCAGCAACAACCATGCTGACACCAGAAATCCTCTGGGCTCCTGAGATGGAGTGGGGATCCCCTGGGCCTCAGCCATGTCCCCCACCCTCTGCAACCAGACCAGCTCTGGCCCCACATTTGTTTCCCTACTCCCCTCCTCCCTCCCCTTCCCACTGCTCTGCAACATCATCTTAGAATGTAAAATAATAATAATAAATAAATATGCTTAAATGGTACTGCAAAATATATCAATTGGTGGGGAAGAAGGTAACCTATTAGGCAGAAAAAATAATCCCCCTTTTGTAAAACTATGTGTGCATGGATATATAGAAATTTTAAAATATTGATATATATGTATACATATACACACACACATATACACACACACATCATAAAGGTCAAGCACCAAGATGATAACAAGTTAATTGGAAAGAGAAAGTTAAAATAATCTTTATTTATAATTCAGAGTTGTTTTATTTTTTTGATTTGTTTTTTAAAAAATTTTCACAGTGATGATATATTAAATTTACAATCATAAAAAAAAAGTTTGAAAACAGACCATTAGGCACAGATAGCCACCTGCCCGACTGGTAGAAGACAGGAAGCAAATCTGGAGACCTTAGCAGCTGTGAGCCAATCCTGCCACTATCACAGACACTGCTATTGCAGAGTTGGCTCACCACAGCCACCACCAAAGGGACTTCTAAAACAAGGGTGTTCACTGCCACCACAGCAGCCATCAATACCATGCAGGTAGCTCACAGACAACGTGACTGCACTGATACAAGTAGTGTTACCAGCAATGCCCAGGGAAAGAGGTGAGTGACTGCAGAACTGCAACAATGGCCCAACTCACAGAGGAAGTTATGCAGACACACGCAGTAGAACACCTGTGGGTGGGAGGTATGTGTGCAGCCTATACAACTGCCTTGATATGGGGAGAGATAAATACCTTAAAAAGAATGTAGTAGAACTCCTAGAACTAAAGGATTCATTCAACAAAATAAAAAACAACCAAGAGCTCAAGCAGCGGGTTAGAGTAAGCAGAAGTAAGAATTTCTGATGTTGAAGAAGGTCCTTTTTTTAATAACCCAGTCTGACAAAAAATAGCAGGGAAAGAATTTTTAAAAATGAGGAAAATCTAAGGGATCTAGCAGACAACCATATGTGCAGAAACATCCAAATCATGGCTGTTCCAGAAGGGGAGGAGAAAGAAAAAGGCATTAAAAACCTATTCAATGAGATAACAGCAAAAATCTTCCCACATATAGGGAAGATATGGCCTTCAGATTCAGGAGGCTCAAAGATCCCCAAATGGATTCAATCCAAAAATGATCTTTCTAAGACACATTATAGTCAAATTGGCAAAAGACAAAGAGAAAATTCTAAACAGCAAGAGAAAAGCATGAAGTCACCTATAAGGGAGTCCCCATCAAACTAACACCAGACATCTCAAAAGAAACACTACAAGCCAGCAGAGAATGGGATATATTCAAAATATTAAAAGAAGAGCCCCCCCACCCCCTGCTATACAAACATACTATACCCAGCAAGGCTATCTTTAGGAAATGAAGGAGAAATAGTGTATTTCCCAGACAAACAAAAACTATGAGAGTTCACCACCACCCAACCAGCCCTATAAGAAATCTTCAAGAGAGTCCTACATCTGGAATCCAAAAAACAATAATTACTACTATGAATGCACAAGAAAGAACAAAACTCACAGGTAGAACAAAATGTAAATGAGAAAGAGAAAGAAATTATATCATACCACCTCCAAAAACCAATAAACTCTAAAGACAAAGAGAAAGAAAGAAAAGAAATTTAAAACATCCAAATGAAAATCAGCCAAGCCAGAAATAAGACAATATCTTTAAATAACAACACTAGATGTAAATGAATTAAATTCTGCATTCAAAACACAGACTGGCTGATTGGATTAAAAAGCTAGACCCAACTTTATGCTGTCTACAAGAGACTTATGTCACCTATAAAGATACACACAGACTAAGAGTGAAGGGACGGAAAAAGGTATACCACACAAATGGAAATCAAAAATGAGCAGGAGAAGCTATTTTTATATCAGATAAAATAGACTTTAATCCAAAAAGTATAAAAAAAAA